CTTAAAAACCTTCAGAATCCCACTAAGTAAGTAAAGCCGTTCGAATCCCACTGAAGCCTTTCAACATCACGAAAGAAGCACCTGCACAAATCCTTTCAAATCCTTTTCGACCGTCGATGTCCAATGGCAACCCTAGAACTCCCAGACAAACCCTTTCGAAATCCCATTAAAACCATTAAACCTCATAAACCCTACAGAACCCCATGACAACATTACTATTAAATCCTTTCCAAAACCATGGGCCGCAGATTCCCGTAGCTGGGGTGCAAACCTGGTGTAATATGAGCGGTTGTGGTAGGGGGGCGGGGTCAAAGCAACAGACCGGGCTCCAGTTTTTGTCTCTACCAGCAGGTAAAGACGAAATGAGGGCTTTGTCTCCACCTGCTGCTACAAACAAAAACTGAAGCCCCGTCTTTTGAAATGACCCCCCCCCCCTTAACCACCCAGCCTACACCCCACTTCTATCAAGATGCTGTGTAAACCATGGCTTGCATGGCCCAAAACCCTGCAGCCGCCCTTTGGAGTCGCCGGAATTCCCAATTGTTGCCAAGAAGCATAAGTTGCGGGCTGCTGTTGTTGTCTGTGCAAGAAACAACAACGACGACGCCGCCACCACCACCACCGCCACCACCGCCACCACCACCGCCACCACCACCACCACCACCACCACCACCACCACCACCACGAACAAGAACAAGAACAAGAACAAGAATAAGAACAAGAACAAGAACAAGAACAAGAACAACACCACTGCCAACAACAACACCAATGCCAACAACAAAAACAGCACCAACACCAACACCAACACCAACACCTCGACCATCGCCACCGCCGCCACCACCACCACCACCACCAACAACAACAACAACAACAATAACAATAACAAGAACAATAACAATAACAATAACAAGAACAAGAACAATGACAGCAACATCATCAACAACATACCATGCCGAGGAAGCAGGAATGCGAAAGCCCAGCACTCCACGAGTGTGAAAGCCTCTAAACCCTCTCTCTTGGGTGCTATAGGAAGAGTGGGACTTGTCACACAAGACTAACGACGACGATGACAGTGGAGTAACAATCAGAGCTTGCTTTTGACTACACCGAAAACCATAAAAAAAAAAAGCCTGCAGTTTAGGACCTGACCCCCCAACACTGTAGATCCCACCACCCACCCCCCTTAACCCGAAACCCCAAAACCGTGCAATACTGATCCTGCACCAATTCCCTCAAAAACCTCAAACCCTCCAACACACAGAACCTTTGTTTGCGACTGATGCGCTGCATCGACTCGTAGTTGAGAGTCCTTCAAGGGCTCATTAGGGTTGTTCGTACTTATTTCAGTTTCTGCCTCCAGCCATGCGACGACGCAGGGTACTTTGCCAGACTCAGAAGTACGACAGAGAAGAACTCACACCACAGGCATTAGCTCTGCAGGCTGGGCTACTGCTGGGTCGAAACAGGCTCTGCAAAGCCTCTCGGCAGACTGTCCAACTGAGGGATGCACACTTAGCTTTCAGTTTCACGGCTTGAGGCTTCAGGGTTCAGGGTTTAGGGCTTAGGGTTTAGGGGTTTAGGGGTTTAGGGTTTCGGGTTTTTTTGCCTCCAGGGTTTAGGGTTTAGGGTTCAGGGCTTGGGGACCCAGGATCTCCCACATACCTGCATGCCTACATGCGTATATCCATGCAGGCATTTAGGGTTTAGGGTTTAGGGTTTAGGGTTTAGGGTTTAGGGACACTTGCAGAACGCGCATCAGCTTGTCTCCGTCCTCCTCCGTGTAAGAGCGAAGTGGTGCTTCGTTGCCCCGCGCTGGGGAATCTCGGCAGCATAGATGAGAAGTACAGCTTCAGGATCTACGGGTTTAGGTTCTATGGAATCTGTAGTCTAACATGGATATGGGTGTAAGGACTTAATAGGTTCATGGGGCTAAGCCAAGCCTAGAGATAGCGCACTCAAACAACAGCACCTGAGGAATGGCCTTTGGCAAAAAATGCGTTCAACAAGGCTTCTTGGGATTGAGTGTGAGCCGCGTGAGTGGACCTGTCGGGAATATGACTGCGCTACATGAACAAGACCTGCACATTGCTGCAAAGTCGTACCGACAAACATAAGGAGCATCTTCCCAGCATGGGACTGAAATCAACTCAACAAGAATCCTGATTTCGCCGCGGGCTGCTGTACGCATTGACGACAACATTTCCCCGCTGCTGATCCTCTGAGAACCCGAAGCTTACAACTTCAACCGAGCTTCAGCTCACTTCTGACGGCGGGATGTCGGAAAATGACGCCGACGTCTGCTTCCTGAATTCGACTTCATGAAACTAGGTGGCAAAGCGGCATCTACCCAGATTTCAGCTAAAGCTGAGACAATACAAGTAAGCATAAAGCAACAGAAACAGCAAACGTATGTCGTTTATGCTTTGTATTCGTTCTGCTATGATCTACTAGGTTGTATCATATACCAGAGACCCTAAGCGGCTCTGCTGCGGCCTCTCCTTGTCTCTGCCGTATGTGGGAGCACTTTCGCAGGTCGCGACCTTGAACTAGGTGCATCACTTCCATGCCTTGGCACATGGCAACTTATTTGCCCCCGGGCTTGGAAGCAAGTCGGAGTTTGCATGTTCTGGGTTTGGGCTTTGGAGAATTCAGCCTTTCGGGCGGAGAACTATTGGGGTCTTTTCTGAGGGCCTGAGGCTTTGACAAGGGACTCTTGCCCAATTTCTGAAAATCGAGCAGCTGAGAGCGATTGCACCAAAAGCCCCATGATGCACCCATACACCTGCAGGCTGTAAAAAAAATCTAAATGACTATTTACCAACTTCTTTTTTAACCTGCTTAGTTGCAGGGCACCACCGAATCTCAGGTGCCGTTTTGGGTTCCGGCACGCACAGCCAGAAAAAGCCAAGCGATGTTGATGATCCGTGGGAGGCATGGGACGCTGAGTTAGGCCTGTTTGGGGCCTTACACGGTGTAAGGATTCAGCCCGGACCTCAAAAGTGAAGCCATTTATACTGAACCAGGAAACCCTCAATATGGCTGCAGGCTCTCATTCGGCTTTCCGCAGATTCGGAACTCGGGGGGTCCAACTCTGAACTAGGAACCCTCCGCCGGGTAACGCTGCTCGACTGAGAAGCACATCTTGTTGGCCCAACCGCTCCATGACCAACTCGTGGTGGCTTTGCATGGTTGCAAGAAGCCTGGGTCTGGATTTCTCAGGTTACGCAGGTTGTTGTTGTGGAAGTTTTTGGTCGTCAGGGAATGGTGGCTTGCTGGCTCCACTACAAACTTTCTATCTTTGAGCTCCACGAACGCTCTTAAATAAGAAGAGGTACAGCGCCGTGTCAGGGTGAACAGCGGCTCTCTGTTCATCGTCCGAAGGACTTGCCGGAGAAGCATCGGCCTGGAGCGAGGGTGGGTAAGGTCCAATTCGAGCATGAATGTGTGTGTGTGTGTGCGTGTGTGTGTGTGTGCGGGTGTGCGCAGACTATTCCTCGACTTTGCTGACAGTGGTTCCAAATGGAAACTTTTATGAACCGCCACACAAACCTGAGCTTGCAGGCCTCGGAAGCTGCCATTTGGACACGCTGGGAGCGAGGCACCAATAAGTCCGCTCTAGAAAATAGAATCAGTTGTCATAGGCTGCACACTTGTCTGCAAAGTATTGATTGAAGCCCTGTCAAGCTGCAGATTTCCGTGCAACAGAGGATATTATTGACAGCTGGAAATAGTCAGGAGCTAGTGAACTCCTCTCATGCTTGTAACTGCTGCTCCCGTATTTTTTGTAATGATGGTGGCAATTGCAATGGCTGCCATTCATTACTAGAATCCAAGTCGAGATGGGCTGCCTCCACGAGATTGAACACCCCTTCTACTGTCGACATCACAAGGCCGACATCGAAACCTGAAGAACCCTGGCCCACGTGCTTGCTGAAGCTTGACGGAATGACTTCTGGCTCGCCGTCTGGGCTGAACCAAGACGAAGCGAACTGCCGGGCAAGATGTTCTCCAGCCTGATCGATGCTTCAGCCATGGAGCAGCAGCTTTACTTTTCCGTGAAGGCAAGAGTCTCTGCACAGGTCAACAGTTCGCTGCGCGACATTCTCTGCCGACCGGACACTACATCGACGGGAAAACTCACACGCAAAGGCACGCCTGTTCTAAACCAATTGGTCCGGACCCTCCACATTGTTGAACTGGTCGCATCTTAAATCTTGCATCGAGCCATGAGAAGAGTTTCGGTTCGCGGGTGTGTGTGTGTGTGTGGGACAGAGGAGACGGACAGGGTGAGATGGAGAGAGAGCGAGAGAGAGAGAGAGACTGAAACAGAGAGAGAGGGAGCGGAGAGAGAGAGAGAGATAGGGAGAGAGAGAGAGAGAGAGGGAAAGAGAGAGAGAGAGAGAGAAAGAGAGAGCGAAAGAGAGAGAGCGAGAGATAGTGAGTGAGTGAGCGAGCGAGCGAGTGAGTGAGAGAGACACAGAGAGTGAGTGAGAGAGAGGGAGGAGAGAGAGAAAGAGGTTCTGCCGTTTCAAAATTGTCATCCTCCAACCAGCCTCTACGCTTGCACCAAGAGCGTGCGTGCCTTGTCATTGTGACAAAGTGAAACAGCAGCAGCCTATTCAGCCGCACAAAATCCATTTTCAAAAATGACCCGACATGGACTTCAACCCCTGACCACCAAGTTGAATCCGGAGGTTTGACTAACTAACATAGCATGTCTCAAGTAGTGTCGGCTTCGTCAGCTCTGTTCTTCATGTTATTCGGGTCCTATCCTTCGGTGAGGCATCTCGCATTATGCCAGTGCCTCAGGAAAGACCTACAACGGTCCAGGCATCCAGTGTGCCCCGCCTTCAGACCGGAGCAGACGCTCAGGCTTGAACACACGCACAGCTCGAAGTTCCGGCTAACAGGCAACCAGTCAGAATCACCCTGGAAGTGGGATCATGTTGCAGACCATAGCAACCCGCCGGAGACAACTGTAAGATTACGCTCTTGAAAATTCAGAGCTGTGCACACATCACACCCCGCGAGAGAGAGCTGATGAAATCTCTCAAGGTGGTCATGTCATCTCTGAGCTTGATGAGTTCATCCTCCTGAGGCCACCAAGGGTTTAGGGCTGTTTTGCCTCAGGTTTTGAGTTTGGAGTTTAGGGGGAGGGTTACGGGACTGCCGGTCGTGCTCGTGGTGGGAGCCTAGACGAGGCACGGACACATACATCCACGTGGCTTACGAGTCGTCTGTAGAGTTGCGTTTCTGGCAGGAACCTGACAACCGTCCAAGCGGTGGAGAAGCCACATCTTTACTGCACACACCCGCTGTTGTGGCATCCAGCTAACGTCACGATGCCACGATTGTCCGTGCTACTTTTAACCGTGCTGAGACTGACAAGACGGACAACGGTACAACTCCTCCTGCTAAATTGCGCCTTCTCCTACGATTGTCGTGGCGATAATCCAAAACATGACCCGCATGACTATCATCGTCATAATGATCGCCATCATCATCATCATCACAAAGATGTACGGAATGCACTGTCATAATCGTTCTGGGTATTGATGTGGCAACCCGAATGCTTCGACAGGCCTTCGCGCACATGACACATGCGAGCACAGGGAGCAAGGCCTTATGCTTGCTGAGGTCTGAATCTCGGGGGTCAATGTTTGCAAGTGGTGGGAGAGTTGGCTTCATCAACCGATACATAACATTAAACCATTAAGTCCTAAAAAAGCCTTGCAACTGAGCCGTAAAAGACCTGAACACTGATCCCAAGCGCCATCAAGCGTCCATGCATCTTTGGAATCGTCCCTGGCTGCGGATCAGCCAAGTCTGGTCTTGAATGAGCTTCCCCACATCCATGGCTTTGGCCTGAACTCTCACCATACTAAAGGTATCCTACGTCCCAAGGTCAAGAGGACTGGGCGAACACCTTGCAGGCAGTATGACTTGCAGGCAAAATGATGTAAAATGTAGGATGGAAGTCACGCGACACCGGCCATCAGCAGGTCGAGCCAAAGAACTCGATCTAGAATCTAGATCTCACTTGCGCATAGGCCGAGCATCGAAAACTCTCATGCCGCCGTGGAACCAGAATGTAGTAAGGCTTGCCTTGCCTAAACCCCGAAGCCCCTAAGCCTCGAAACGGAAGCTCCAAAACCGTGAGCCGTGTGCCAGTCAAGGGACAGCTCCGCTAAATCTCAAACAGCCCAGGAAGAACTCCTGGAGGAACTGGCTTTTAAATAGATAGCCATAACAATATGGCATAAACATGCTGTCGAAAAAAAGTTATGAACATACCATCATATTCATATGTCATGGTATGCACAATAAACTGTGATAATCTATATGCGACGTAGAATTCAGAGATCCTAAGAAGCACTACATCCCCGGGCGATATTCAGAGACTCTGCATTCCCTAAACCCTACACCCCAAAAACCCTAAACTAGAGGTGCCCTATACCCTAAACCCTGAACCAAATAAACCTCCGAGCAGGCTCCCTAAACCCTAGAAACCTAAAAGGCATGCAATATAGGCCTTACACGCTGAACCTGATGTGTTTCGGATTTCGGGCTCCGCTTTTAGGCCAGGCCGCATTTAGGGGATGTGTTATGACTTAAAGGATTCTGTTGAAGCTATTCAGCTATTCATATTCATAAATTCATAAAGGTTGTCAGGGGTATTTGTCTTGTTTTGTCTTAAGGACCGTCGGGCCGCAGAATGCGCTGCGTCCCAAAAACGTACGAGTTCATGTGAAACAAGTGCACGGCTGTTGGAACCAGAAGTTTACGGAAGATTCTGGCTGACCCCCGTGGCCCTTCGGTAGTATGCGTGCGGAAATCCACGACTCACATTCTGAGGAGTGACGAAACGCTTGAAGACTGGCGATCGGGATATCGTCCGTGCAAAAGTCGATTCCCTCGACTCTTTCCTCCGCTGTCGGAGTGAGCGCTCCGAAAAACCAAGCCGATTGGGCAACTCCTCGAAACGCCGACCAGTGGCGACAGGCATGACGCGCCGTGCTGAATCGCACAAAACATGGCGAAGCGACGACCCTATACACATGCATATCATTTTCATCCCACCGAATTCAAGCAGCTTCTTCAAAGATCCAATCGAAACACTCAAACTGTGCACCGTGCCGGCCCCCTTTCCGAGAGAGAGACAGAGAGAGACTCGAGAGAGGGATAGAGGTTCATATATACATATATAGAGATGTATATGAATATATATATATATATACACATCTTCTTTATCCTCTGTCCAGAAACAGATTTTAGCTTTACTATGTCGATGTCATGTATATGTGTATATTGAAGTTTATATAGATGTATATATACATATATATATATATATATATATTTGTATATGTACATAAATATATATATATATATAGACATACATATTTATATTTATTACATGTATACTATATTTATATTATATTTCTATTATATTTATATTATATTTATATTATTATTTCTATTTTATTTATATTAGTTTTATATTATGTTGTGTTTTATTATATCATACTATATCATATTATATCATTTCATATCGAATCATATTATCTTATGTTATACTACATTATATCATAACATATGATATCATATCTTATCATATCATATCATATCATATCATATCATATCATATCATATCATATCATATCATATTATATTATATTATATTATATTATATTATATTATATTATATTATATTATATTATATTATATTATATTGTATTATATTGCTATCTAACGCCTATATAGCTGGGTCACCACCGGCGAGGATGTTCTGACTTCCAAGTAATAATTAGGGTCCGATTAGGGTGATTAAGGTGTGAAATTAGGCTTTGTGGATGATTAGGGCGTGAATTAGGGTTTGTTGTTTTTTCTCACACGAAACGAAGATATTTCACACAAAGTCTAGTTCAAGAGTACACCTATCGACCAGCAGGTCCGTGAACTTCACGATTTGCCCTTTTCACGGCCATATGTGCTCTATATGGCCATACCACTTTTTCACGGCCCTCTGGCCCTAAGGCTTCAGGCCACGAAAGGTACAGGTCTTGGCCGCCTCCTGCCAAAGGAGACGTAGCCAAGACCCCACTGCTGCGCGGTTTGCGTTTACGCTTCCGCTTCCGTGAGTTGCTGCACTGCCACCTCCTCCTTTCGCAACACCTGCCCCAGCTTTTTGGCTTGCCCGCCCGGTAGCAAAATCCGCAGAAACAAAATGATAAGCTTGACGGCCCCTCCACCTTGCAACAGATCTTCCAAAGACTTCTCTGCTTGTCGTCGCGTCCTAGCGGCTTGTCCTCCCGGTCCGGGGTGGGAGGCCTCGCCAACTCTCACCCCACGGTAGCCCGTGAAGCGCATCATTCTGGGCATGAAAGCCGTCCGAAAACAAGTGCAAATGAGTACTTCAGCCTTCTCAAAATCAAATGTCGAGATATCTCTGCATTCATGTTGTGGGCGAGCCAGCCCACTTCTTGCTTGCTCCAGTGCGGCGTAAAGACATCTCATGTAGGATAACTGCTCTCTTGCACCCGCTTTGGCCTAGCAGGTTGCCCATCACACCACTCGCAGCAGTGCCAGGTAGCACATGCCCCACCTCCACAAAGATCACGAAGACTAGGGCGTTGGTGTGCTGGAGGTAAACTTGGATCACAGTTGAAGTTGAAGTTGTAGAGGTAGCCGCTCTGGCCGAACTTAAAAGCTTATGGGCTTGCACCACAGGCACCGCAGACGGAAAGTCCCACGCAACTAGCCGTCCCGCCCTTTCAACCGCATAGCGCAGTCCTTTCTCACCACCAAAGAGCACGCATCAGGTCGTGAAAAGGCTTGGTGCGCAGTGCCTGCGTCCGAAGAGCAGCAAGTGACCAGCCCTTGCATGCGTTGGCGAAGCGTGTCCAGCACCACCTTTTTGCTTGCAAGCGAGCCACCTCGTCATCAGCCGCTTGGTTGAGCCTGCGGCGAACAGAGACTTCGCAGAGATCAGAGTCTCTGGGCCTCCACTCCGGACGCTTCCCATGAAAGGGCACCCACAGAGGGAAGATTTTCCCCGCAGCCACCTCGACTGCCGACCAAAAAGGTCGAAGCTCCTTTATCACACGGCCTGTCTGCTCACGGTAGGCCTCCGAACGCAGAACCAGAGGAAGGTTGTCAAAGACCGCCACAACCTGTGTTTCCAGCTGCTGCGACTCCCCCTCCCACCCTAGACCCTACACCCCACACCCTAAATTTCAGACGGCTGGCGCTGATAAGTGTGGTTTGAAGAGTGAAAGGAATGCAGGATATCCCAAGAACGCCGCCCGCGCCCAAGAACGCCACCCCGTCACAAAATCCAAGTCCAAAGTGACAAACTTCAGGCCCAAAATTGACAAAATCGACAAAATCCAGGCACAAAGTGATGCCCAAAACTGACAAAATCCAGGCCCAAAGTGACAAAATCCAACCGCCAAAATGACAAAATCCAGGCCCAATGAGGCTGGGGGCTGGGGACTGGCACTGTGGAGTGCCCGGGGCCTGGGTAGGGGTTGGGCCACAACAAGAAAATGACAAAGTCTACAGCCCAAGAAGCAGGGCCGGCGCAAGCGCGAACACGAGAAAATACAAAAGTGCAAAGCCAAGAAGCAAGGCCTCCACAAAAGTTAAATCGATAAAATATAAAAAAAAAAGTTTAGCACTTAAGCAGCAGCCCCCTGAAACAGAGAGGCTTGTTATTTATTCGCTGAGAAATGACTAGGGCGCCTTACGCAGTCGCTGGCGAACCCTAAACCCTGAACCCTATATATAGTTGTAGAATATGACCACGCTCTCCACCAAAATGACGGACGTAGTCATCCAGAGCCAGTTGCCTAGCCCTTAGCCCTCGAGGCGGTGCGCCTCAGATCCAAGCACGTCTTCCTGACGTTGGCAAGCCACGCCAGCACGCGTTGGCTGTGACGTTTGTCCTTAGACGGCCATCCCAGCCTCATCTGCAAGACGTCATGACCCGAGCTCTTGCCCAGACCCACCGGCCTTAGAGCGTGATGAGAGCAATCCCACGCCACATGCTCCCAGTCAGCACCCCCGTCCCCGCAGAAGGGACAACGGTGACAAGACTGCTGCCCCCGTGACAACCGCGATCTCATGCGCACTGAGGTCAAGAAACCGCAGGTCCTTCAATCGATCCTCAGAGTAAGTCATGTGCTCACACATCCTACTGTCCACGCGGTCCTGCGATAGCCACCTGTAGAACAGAGCTCTACGCCAGGATTCTCTCAACACGTTTCGCAGCTGGGGTTGCCAGGTCTGCTGCCGACTGTCCAACGTCAGCCAGCTCCTGAGGCCAGCGTGCCACCATGTCCACGGCGTCCCAGCCTCAGACCATCCAAGGTCCAGGAGACCTTTCCTGAAGGCCCCAAGCCAACCGGACTTCTGACTTCGATTGCCCGGCATGACGGTGCCTGTTCTTGCAACAAAACGATGCATGATCGTCATTACTTCATTCACAGCTGAAAAGCGCAAGTCCCATTGATGGCCCCTAACGATGCAGAACTAGCAAAATAGGCAAACCAACACACCTCAAAATCATGGCTTTAAAAACACCTTAGATACAGACTTTCAACTTTAAACTCAAAATCAGCAAAACACCTTAAATCAAACACGAGTCTGTTGGAAGATCTGGGAAAGCTGACCGGCTGCTGCAACACTGTGCGCCGGGCCTGCCCCGGCCCAGCTCGAGTGGGAGCAGACGGCACCAACAAGTACTGCTTGGAAGTGCCGTTCTCATCAACTCGGATCATGCCAAAGTCTGCGTCAGAGATGCCACGAAGGATCCAAGTCGCCTTGCTCGCTCTGACGATCTTGCGCATCACTTGACAGTTCTGCAAACCTGCCTGCTCCTTTGCAACCTCCGAAACAAAGTCCTCCCACCAGTGCGGTGGCGTGGCCTGCAGACGCCAACGATCTTGGAGGCATCCTGCTTGATACGAGTACCAGGTTGACGCCTGCCCAAAACAGCTCCCAGTGGACTCTTCTTCGCGAGAACGCGGTTCAGGTAGTCCTGGGCAGTCTCCTCCTCCGCCCTGTTGTGCCACTCAATGGCCACCGGGAACTTGTCAACAGCAGTTGGCTCAAAGAACAGACCGTTCCTGCCAGAGTCCTTGATGAGGAGCTGCTCAGCATGTCCTCGCCACCCGCACGAGGCCGACGATGGCTTTGTAACCACCACGGTCCTCCTCCGAAAACCCCCAGACGTCTTTCAAAGAGTAAGCCGCCTCTTCAGGAAGCGCGCAGCGTTGGCCCGGAGCTCAGCGTACTCCTGGTGCTTGACAAACTCACGGCCGACCATTGCCCGCAGCACCGTAATCTGTGGAGCCGCAACCTTAGCAACCGGAGCCGAAGCTCGGCGAGGACTTGGACGAGCCTGCACACCAACTTCTCCGTCAATGCACACGACGCGTCCCGGTTGGCATGATGCCCTCGTAGTAAAAGGGGGCCTCACAGGTGCCCTTGCTATCGATCCAGAAGCATTTTGAACAGACACAGGGCGCAACTTGCTGCAGGATGGTCCCCGCCGCCTCCGCTTGCTCCTTGTCCCGAGCGTGAACAACCTGAGCGAGCTCACGGCACCAGGTCTCCTTTCCAATCGTCATTCTTGAGCGACGGAAGGTTGGTGGCCTCATTTTTTTGAGTCCGAACCACTGGGGCCGTGCCACTGCCCTTGCGTTGACCATCCTTACAGGGTGGAGCGCCTTTGCCCTCACTTTTGCTGCCACCATTTGAGGGTGGTGGCGGCGCTTGAGCCGGAGAGCTTCCCACTGGCATACTACCAGACAGTACCATTTCCTTCTGCTTGTTCCGCCCCTCAGGATTTAGGGCGTGATGTGGGTGCACTGCCCCGGCCAGCATTTCTCAAGATGCCCCTCACACCAGCTCCGGCGATCAGAAATGGTTCCGCCCTCCTGAACCCTAAACTTGCCCTAAACCCTATACCCCACATGGATGAACACCCACCTGCCCTCCAAAGGCTCCTCGATCTCCACAAAGCCGCCACCATCCGAGTCCAGAAGCTTGAAAAAAGACCATGGATCCCAAACCTGGCTCAGCAAAAGCAACACCCTTAAACCCTGCACCCAAAGTAGTCAACCTTAAACCCTATATATCCTACAAACTCCATGATACTTCCACTCCAACAGGTGTGCACGCGAAGTTCTATTCCTGAACACACGGGCCCCAAGTCGAAACGGATTCTTTCGGGTTGCTGGCAGCCGCATTTTCCACCCAAACTTCTGTGGGGCTTCCCAAATCCAAGACCACTCTTCCCACAGGTTCACGTATGTATCCAGTTTCGACTTTGGCATTGACAGTCTTTCCGTTGCGATAAGCCATACATTCTAACGTCATTGATATGAACACTATTAGGGCACTTGGAACGTTTGAGGCCGCAATAGACGACAACACCGTTGAGACGGAGAGTCTCTCGGAGACCTCGCGACAAAGGTCTGACCCGGAAGCTGAAAGGTGCTAGAGGGATTCCGTGTTTGGGGATGTTAGACAAAAGAGGCTCTTAATAGTATTTGTGTATGTTGTAGGAAGCACAAACCGCTGTTGCAATGTAGGGAGCTTAGACTTGAAAACACTGTATGCATTCGGGCAGCGTCCAAGCCCAGCGTCTCAAAGTACTCACGAACCGGGCCGGAGTTGATCTTCTGCTCGAACATGCCAAAAGTTATCCCTCCGGCTTCTTCGGCTCCGAGCTTGCTAAACAGAGTCCGAAGTTTCCTTGGCTGTGGCTTTCCATGGCGGATGAACATCTTTGCTGAGTGGCTTGTGGCTGTTAAGCCTACAGGTACCGGTTGCCGACGCTTGATTTGCAGTGTTGGCGGGCAGTCTTGCTTCTTGATGATGCACTATCTCTGTAGACCCTGTTTCACGAATGTGCGCAGCTCCAGCACGCCAAAACCCGTCGACAACCCAATGAAAAATCGCACTGCCAAGCTTCTGCAGGTGCGACTCCTTGTTGTCTAGCATGTTCTGCACAACTGTGGCGTGGTCCTTCTGCGCCGACTCTATTGCTGACTGGCAGAATACTGCCGTCACCTGCGGCATTGAAGAACAAGTTTTAGAAGGCACCCACTCTATCAACTGCTAAAGAACTTGAGGGGCGGCAATTTAACAAGAAAACATGGACGAAGGCACTCACTCCATCAAACTGCACAACAGTTTGATAGGGGCAGCCGCCGAGTGCTGCAGCAGAACACTGCCGCAGACTAGAAGGACGACGGCAAAGGTCTCACAAGCTCAGAAACTTGCGCTGCATGTGGTGCTGCATGGGAAGGAAGGCAGGCACAAAGTGAGCCGTACGCCCTGGCAACCGAACTACAGCAAAAGCACGCAACCCATCAATGGGCGCAAAGCCGGGCGGATCGAGAGGCACTTGGACATCTAGTGACTTGAGAATACGATGGGCAGTTTGCGCAGAGACGCTGGGTGATTAAAAGAAACACCGGACGCATACCCGAGGAAGTACGGAAAATGTTGCGTGCGCGGAACTTTGGGTGCACTCATCGATGACGACAGGCACCACATACTGGCAAGCTGCTGCTTGCCGAAGACCCACGAACATAGGCACAACAACCTTTGTTTTGTTTATCTGTTTATCTATCTAGCTATCTATCGGCTCGCCTACCGAGATCTTTTTATGTATCTGTCTATCTATATCTATCTATCTATCCATCTATCTATCTGTCTATCTATCTATATCTATCTATATCTATATCTATCGATCTATCGATCTATCTATCTATCCATCTATCTATCTATCTACATACGCAGCCAAGCACGACATGTTTTAGTGGCGCAAATTCGAGAAGCAAATAGCTGGCGAGGCAGAGAGAAAGAGAGAGAGAACGGCCGGTACTTATGGAAAGAAGCAGACAAGCAGATGAGCAGAATGCTGCACACGTTCATGAATTCCTTCTCATTCGTTCGAAGATAAACACAAAAACACGCACTCAGTCTGTGAGTAGGTGCGCATTCATGTGTCTTGGCGCATACGTCAGATCCTTGTTCGGCCCCTGCTTTCCGATACCACGGTTTCTCTCCCTCGCTGTTTCTGTTCGCCAGCGAATTGTAAGGGGCTGCTTTGTGACTCTCTCCCTCTCTCTCGCTCTGTCCCTGTTTGTTCCCAACCTGTTCAAGGGAGTGAACGGACGTCGTGATGTCATGAAGGCAAACGTCAAGGATTATGCAACCCCGGATTTGCAGACAGCAGAGCTCTGATTGCCACCGGGCTGCAACATTTAACACCTCAGCTCAGGTTCACAGGAACCCGAAGAGAAACAATGACCCTGTAGCACCTGACTTACAACTTTGCCTCATATAGTCGCCAAGTAGCGGCAAAATATGTGAAGGCCACATAGAAAATGAATGCAAGTCCCCAATACCATGACACCTCTGAAAGCGGCCGGATGGCCACTTCCCAACTAACTCCTCGGCTGCATCGAGGAGCTGAAAGCGTGTAAGGATTAGGGTAGAGCTCAGTAATTGTCCACTGTCTTTAGTCAGAAACCCCTCTTCAATGTGTTTTGGCAGGGTGGGGGATTTGGGGAAGTCCTCTATATGTGTGCTCTGGATGGGATCCTCCCTGCTGCTACGGCCAATCTTAATTTAGGAACATCCAGGAGCCATTGCTCAATCAATACTCGTTGCGGAGATGAACAGACAAATGAGAACGAGAGTGAGGGAGAGAGCTAGATAGAAAGATAGAAAGATAGACAGATAGATAGATAGGTAGATAATTAGATAGATATGTAGGTATATAAGCAGATAGATAGATGGGTAGATAGATAGATAGATAGAAATGTACAGACAGATAGGTATACCTAGGTATGGATAGATCGATAGACCGATCGATAGATAAAGATAGATTCACAGATGTAGATGGACAGAGAGATAGATAGATAGATAGATAGATAGATAGATAGTTAGATAGATAGATGGATAGATAGATAGATAGGTAATAGGTAGATAGATAAAGATAGATACAGCTCAGATATAGGTAGACAGACAGACAGACAGATAGATAGATAGATAGATAGATAAAGATAGATACAGATATAGATAGACAGACAGATAGATAGATCGATAGATAGATACAGATAGATACAGATGGAGATGGACAGATGGACAGATAGATAGATATATAGATAGATAGATCGATAGATAAAGATAGATA